CTTTATAACCCTAGCGTCATCGAACCTTAAGTGTGTAGACCCTACGGGTTCGGGAGACATGTAGACATGACCGAGACGTTCTCCGGTCAATAACCAACAGCGGGATCTGGATACCCATGATGGCTCCCACATGTTCCACGATGATCTCATCGGATGAACCACGATGTCAAGGACTTTATCAATCCCGTATTCAATTCCCTTTGTCTATCGGTATGTTACTTGCCCGAGATTCGATCGTCGGTATCCAATACCTTGTTCAATCTCGTTACCGGCAAGTCACTTTACTCGTTCCGTAACACATCATCCCGTGATCAACTCCTTGGTCACATTGCGCATATGATGATGTCCTACCGAGTGGGCCCAGAGATACCTCTCCGTTTACACGGAGTGACAAATCCCAGTCTCGATCCGCATAAAACAATAGATACTTTCGGAGATACCTGTAGTGCACCTTTATAGTCACCCAGTTATGTTGTGACGTTTGATACACCCAAAGCACTCCTACGGTATCCAGGAGTTACACGATCTCATGGTCAAAGGAAGAGATACTTGACATTGGCAAAGCTCTAGCAAACGAACTACACGATCTTTGTGCTATGCTTAGGATTGGGTCTTGTCCATCACATCATTCTCCTAATGATGTGATCCCGTTATCAACAACATCCAATGTCCATAGCCAGGAAACCATGACTATCTGTTGATCACAACGAGCTAGTCAACTAGAGGCTCACTAGGGACATATTGTGGTCTATGTATTCACACATGTATTACGATTTCCGGATAATACAGTTATAGCATGAATAAAAGACAATTATCATGAACAAGGAAATATAATAATAATACTTTTATTATTGCCTCTAGGGCATATTTCCAACATTAGTTGCGGGATGATGTATTACGGAACGAGTAAAGAGACTTGCCGGTAACGAGATTGAACTAGGTATTGAGATACCGATGATCGAATCTCAGGCAAGTAACATACCGACGACAAAGGGAACAACGTATGTTGTTATGCGGTCTGACCGATAAAGATCTTCATAGAATATGTAGGAGCCAATATGAGCATCCAGGTTCTACTATTGGTTATTGACCGGAGACGTGTCTCGGTCATATCTACATAGTTCTCGAACCCGTAGGGTCCGCACGCTTAACGCTACGATGACAGTTATATTATGAGTTTATATGTTTTGATGTACCGAAGGTTGTTAGGAGTCCCGGATGTGATCACGGACATGACGAGGAGTCTCGAAATGGTCGAGATATGAAGATTGATATATTGGAAGCCTATGTTTGGATATCGGAAGTGTTCCGGGTGAAATCGGGATTTTACCGGAGTACCGGGAGGTTACCGGAACCCCCCGGGGGCTTAATGGGCCTACATGGGCCTTAGTGGAAAAGGAGGGAAGCAAGGGAAGTGTGGGGCGCGCCCCCCAAAGGCCCAAACCGAATTGGTTTAGGGCAAAGGGGGTCGGGCCCCCTCTTTCCTTCTTCCCCCCTCCCAAGTCCTATTCCAACTAGGAAAGGGGGGAGTCCTACTCCCGGTGAGAGCAGGACTCCTCCTGGCGCGCCCCAAGGCTGGCCGCACCTCTCCCCCCTTGCTCCTTTATATATAGGGGCAGGGGGCACCTCTAGACACAAGTTGATCAAGTTGATCGTCTCTTAGCCGTGTGTGGTGCCCCCTTCCACCATAGTCCACCTCGATAATACTGTAGCGGTGCTTAGGCGAAGCCCTGTGTCGGTAGAACATCAACATCGTCACCACGCCATCGTGCTGACGAAACTCTCCCTCAACACTCGGCTGGATCGGAGTTCGAGGGACGTCATCAGGCTGAACGTGTGCTGAACTCGGAGGTGCCGTACGTTCGGTACTTGATCGGTCGGATCGTGAAGACGTACGACTACATCAACCGCATTGTGCTAACGCTTCCGCTTACGGTCTACGAGGTACGTGGACAACACTCTCCCCTCTCGTTGCTATGCATCACCATGATCTTGAGTGTGCGTAGGAATTTTTTTGAAATTACTATGTTCCCCAACAATGGCGTCAACGGGTGCAAGGCGTGCCGGCAGTGGGGGTTTCGGCAGGCGCAGTAGGTTTGTCGGCCGCAAGCGTCGCAACAACGACGAGGCCGGCAGCTCCTCCCTCCTCCCTCCCGTGTCGGACAAGCAAAGGGAGGCAGCGTGCACCCGCGGCACGAAGTCCCGCAGCGCCGGCTCGCGGGCGTGGGTGACTTTCTGGCGCCTCGGGAGGTTCTTCGACTCATCCTTCCAGCAACTCCGGGTGGCCGAGACCGCGTAGTGGCAGGCGAGGGAGGCCGCCGCTAAAGATGCAGCTACAGCCGTGCGCCTGCCGGAGCTCCGGGAGGAGTATCAACTCCAACAGATGCTCCCTAGCACCCTGATCTACCACACCCTCAACAGCAACGAGCCCCTGCCACGCGGCTCCGAGGACGAGGGCGACGACGGCGACTCCGGCCCCAGTGCCGACGCATAGAACAAGTATGGATTATTAGAAGTAGAACCCCATGTAGTATGAACCAGTTTAATTTTTGTATGAACTATGTTTAATTAAGCTTGTATGAACTATGTGTGGAACTCCGGTGATGTTATGGCGCGAACTACTAGTTTTAAAATCGAGTTGAATTCCGATGATGTACGCGGGGTCTGTTCTGTCTCCACATCAGTCGTCTCATAAATTTCGTTTACGGGAATTTCACGGGTCATTTGGTTGCGGGATCTGTTAGAAATGCTCTGAGAAGATAAGGTTGGAGGGAACAACGGTGCCAGGGCCAGACAACACGGGTCGCCTGCGCGCGAGACAGCTGGTGTCCAAGCAGGCTGAAATCCGCTTGATTCTCGCCGTGCAAACCACACATTGAGGAAAGAAGAATTAATTCAGCTCGGATTAAATCGCTTAATTCTCGCCGTTGCATGCACACGATTGGCGGGTTTGGTTCTACATTTTATTTTCTTCTTGGTGAAGTTTTTTTATGGTTAATCTTTTGGATGAAGTTACATGTATAGGATTGACCGGTTTGATTCTATATTTTTTTTCTTCTTGAAGTTAGATTTCCATCTGTTTCTGTTTTTGACATACTCATCGTGACTACATAGGTGACCTTACACGGCGGAAACTTATATGTTTGAATGCCTAATGAAATAAATAAATAAATAATCTTTGAGCACTGCTGGTATATGTGTGCATAGTAAACTATCGGCGCCAAAACGTATGTATTTATATGTCATGGCCGTAGAGTCTTTAATCGTTCTCAATAAAAACTCAATGTTTTATAAAAATATTTGCAAATAGTATAAAATATTCATGATTTCAAAAAATGTTCATGATTTTTTTAAACGTAAATTTATAAAAATGTTCATGATTTCAAATATGTTTATGAGTTTAAAAACTGTTCATAATTTTTTAAAATCGTTCACGATTTCATCAAAATATTTGCAAGTTTGAAACGATGTTGGAAAAAGGAAATAGAATAAAAAATAGGACATAAAAGAAATACTAAAAAAACCCGGTTCAAAGAAGATTCTAAAACCTTCCCAAACCAATGAGGAAAAAATCCAAAAATGGACCAGTCCAAAACTGGATTGAAAGCAGGGTAGTCGCTAAGCGCCAAATGGGAAACTCCATGGAGTAGCGGCTGGAAAAATACGTTTTACATAGAGGAATCCCCCAAACCTGGGCCGGCCCAGACGGTAGCGGATGGAAAAAATATGGTTAGAAATCCCCACCTAGGTTGCAAACATAATAAGAAAGAGAGTGATGGTGTATCTTGGTGATGCAACAAAATGTGATTATAGTCATTGAAGATTATAATTTTTTTCCATTACAACGCACATCCCTTGCTGGTTAAAGGTAATGACTGAACATGGACTTTGGTAATAACCGGAGACACAAAAACCTTACATCTAACCCGGCTATTGCTGGCTATCAAAAAATAAGAGAGAGAAATAAAGAACAACCACCATCATTGATTGAAGAATTTGTTTTGCATATCTTGATAATGCATGATGCATCATGGTTTTTTAATAGAATACAATTGAAGTGGTTTATATATACGAACACACACTCATTTTTATGAACATACACATGTATATCCTATCCTTACGAGCACCTCTAAGAAACTGAGTCGGCATAGCATCTTGAGGGCTTCTTTGATTCAAAGGAATTTTATAGGATTTCTGGAGGATTGAAATCCTTAGGATTTTTTCCTATGTTGGTCCTTTGATTCATAGGATTGGATCTCATAGGAATTTTTCCTATGGAATCTTCTGTACTACATTTCATAGGAAATTTAACATCCACTCGAACCTCTTTTTACAATTCCTTTGTTTTTCCCGTGGCATCAAACAATCATTGCTAATTTTATAGGATTCAAATGGGCATGCCACTCCAACCCTACACTTTTTCTATTCCTATGTTTTCAAAATCCTACGAATCAAAGAGGCCCTGAGATATTACGAATTCATCATAGGGGCCTTGCAGTCAACAGAAACGTCTCCTCCCATCGAGGGAATATCGCCGGAAGCCTGAAATAAACCTAGGAATATTGTGAGCACCAATGTCAAATTTAAAACTTGAACCTTGATGGGCTGAGGATGCCATTGTCGTCCTAACCATCCAATCATTTGTTGTTGGTTCCCTGTTTTTTCCAAAGCCTTTGCTCAGAAATTAAATTAAGAGTCTGAAAAGTGTTGAGATTTGTGGGTGAGCACTGATGACTCAGCAGTAGTAGTGAGACGATACAACTCGCAACTGCTTTGCTTGGATGCTCTGCTCTGCTCTGCCTCAAGCGCTCTCCCCAACTCTCCTCCCCTCCACCGCCGGTCCGCCGCCGCGACAGCTCGCCGTGGCCTCCGACCCCAAGACGGACTGCCGATCTCCTCTGCTCGGGCCTAGGGGACTGGGATCGGAAACCGGGGCAAGTGCCGGTACTGATTGACACCGAGCAGAGCGCATCGCCATCGCCATTGCCGGCGGCGGCGGCATGAAGATCCTGGTGGCGGTGAAGCGGGTGGTGGACTACGCGGTGAAGGTGCGGGTCCGGCCGGACCGGACGGGCGTCGACACGGCCAGCGTCAAGATGTCCATGAACCCCTTCTGCGAGATCGCCGTGGAGGAGGCGCTGCGGCTGCGCGAGGCCGGCGCCGCCTCCGAGGTCGTCGCCGCCACCGTCGGCCCCGCGCAGGCCGCCGACACGCTCCGCACCGCGCTCGCCATGGGCGCCGACCGCGCCGTCCACGTCCTCCACGACCCCGGCCCCGCCCGCCCGCTCCTCCCGCTCGCCGTCGCCAAGATCCTCCGCGCCCTCGCGCTCCAGGAGAACCCCGGCCTCCTCATCCTCGGCAAGCAGGTCCGTACTCCCGCACCGCCACCGTCCAAGATTTCACCTTGATTCACTCAGTTTTGCCTGCTCTTCCATGTCTCTGAACTCTGAACTGTTAGCTGGAACAAAGTTCAGAACTGCGACCAAATCTTATGGACAGCACATGCCCAACATCATCACATCCACTGCTTATATAACACCTGAATCCTTAGTTTCACTGTTTGAAGTTAAACAATAATTTTGTCGAAAACAGAGTTGACAGAAACCAGCTCAATCACCAGCTTCTTGCTGATCTAGTCAGGTAGCGTAGCTGTAAAATATAGGATGAAAGTGTTCTCATCTCACATTCTGCACGGTACATAATTCGTAGTACTATTTTGGACAGGAAATATGGGGGGTGTTACTTAGATATGCTAGTTGTATCTCAGATGTTCAAGACAGGAATTCTCTTTATCTTTCTGGGGATATTAGTGGAATTATACATGTCTATTTCACTGTCTGTTCATTAGACAGGATAACAGGGAAATATATAACACTCCAATGGTTTGATTGTCAGTCATGCATAAACCACTCTATTGCTCAAATTGAAATGTTTCTCCTACCGTTTCGGGGTCAAAAAACATTTGGAGTGTTTAAGGGATTTTAGGGATAAATTTATTGCTCGAAATATTTTTGTGATTGCCTGAAGGGCATAGATGTTTGCGTTTGTTTTCTTCCTGCTGACTTAGTTGCTTACTTTGTTTAACATTAACATAGTTGTGTGCTGGTGTTTGCTTGGACTTTTTGCATGTCCTCTTTTGTAACAACTCATCGCCAAGAAATAATTACAGAAGCTTTACTGCTAAGGTTTTTCATGAAGAATGAGAACAAAGGACAGACAACAAGAAGAAGTGTGAAGAAAGTTTAGATTTGGAGTGTATCTGTTCATAATCATAACTTCTACTTCCATCTGTAATTACAGGCAATTGATGATGATTGCAACCAAACAGGACAAATGCTAGCTGCATTGCTCAACTGGCCACAGGGTACCTTCGCATCAAAGGTTTGCTGTTGTTTATTCTTTTCAGATATCAGCAATGTCAGTATGTCACCAATAAGATCATTCATTGAGAGTTTTTTTAAGAGGGTGTTTCATGAAGGTTTTTGTCATTGCACACGGTGATTTTGGTTAACACCTAATCTTCTCATTCTTGTCCAAATAAGCACTGTAACTGTACGCATCTTTTCTATTACAATTTGAATAACTAATGGGTACTAGTATGGATTTTAATTGCATTTAGATTCTAGAAATACATATTTTTAAAACTGATGTTGCGTATTAACTTGAAACATATATTGATTATGCTCACACAGAACCTCAGCCAACACACATGTTGGGACTGAACCCTGCAAAACACCACCACACAACACCTTACCCCTTTTACTTTGCGATGAATTTTCTCCACCTTGAAAAGAGGGACCTCCTGGAGAAGGAATTTTATTTCTTGAGTAATGGTTCTGATTGCAGAAACATCACTCACCTTGCACTTCAATGCTTCAACCACTAAGCTGCAATCACTCTCCAAGACCGCTGGGGCATTATATATCACTACCTTGCCAACCGCTTCGAGGAAGGCCAGAGCTTCGGCTTCCTCTGCACTAGCACAGGGTTTGATCATACCCCATGCCACGATAATAACCTTCCCATTCATGTACCGCAGCAACACACCCCATGCTGCTTCTTTTGTATTGCCAAGGAAACTGGAAACAAGATTCAGTTTTAGCCAGCCATCATCTGGAGGTTTCCAAATGATTTGATCTTCGGCCAGAAGTTTGCATGACTCCTGAATATGGCACTCAATAGCTACTTTGCCTTTGCTATCGCTCTCACTTCTCTCCTCCTTTATATCTTGGAGTGTGCATCCCCTTTAGCAAACAAACACATCTTTTAAGCATGCCGCAGAAGAAAGAGAAGCATTTCGCCTGGGGCGCTGTCCAACAGCACAGGGAACCATTCATGGCGTGAGTACCACAGCTGCCCCTCTGGTGGAAGTTCAAACCGCAGAGCAGGAGCCTTTGTTTATGTCCTCACTGCATGGAAGCAGCTCTCCTCTGTACCACAGATAGTATAAGTTGGAAGCACATTTCTCAATCTTCTGCTTCGGTTTTGTTACACAGCCAAAGTATTCGTAGTTAATCTCCAGGCAAAACTCTGATTTTTGGGGGGAGCTTGTACTTTTGGACTAGGTTCCAAAGGGTTCTATCACTCACAAGCTGAGCACTAGAAGTAACTATTTTTAGTGAGGAAAGAACTTGCTGTTATCACAGACTCAACAGTTTTCAAATTCTTATGTGACCCCACTTCCCTAGAAGCATTTAATTTCATTTTGTGGGCCAAATAAGGTGAAGCAACAAGGGATGCAAATCTGATGAAATTGTTCCCTTAAAATAGCGAAAAAGAAAATCGATCTTGACCATCTCTTTTGTTGTGATGTCTTATGTATTTGTTGTCAGATTTCTATGCCAATGGTTCTCAAGATTCTGTTTAACAGAAAATTGTAGTTAAAGGTGGCTTTTACTTTGTCAGGTGATAATTGACAAGGATAAGCAAAGAGCTACTGTTGAGCGAGAGGTCGATGGTGGAACGGAGACAATCTGCTTGGATCTACCAGCAGTGATCACGTATGCTCCGTTACACGTCTGTGTTTCTTATTTTCAGTAGACTGCTCGTTGGTCATAGAAGCACAGTGGTACTCAATATTATTTTCATAGCTGAAATGTTCAGTCCTAGCGCTCACAAAGCCAACTGTTTGGTTCCCATTTATGCGACTTGGTCTGAACTAATATACACCATGGTTTCTGCTCTGCAGCACTGATCTGAGACTGAACCAGCCCCGGTACGCGACGCTGCCCAACATAATGAAGGCAAAGTCGAAGGTGATCAAGAAAGTCACCCCCGCAGACCTGAACGTCGATGTCAGGTCAGACATGGAGGTGCTCCGGGTGGACGAGCCGCCAAAGAGGAAAGCCGGTGTGATCCTCTCGTCCGTTGACGAGCTCCTTGACAAACTGAAAAACGAAGCCCGCGTCCTGTAACTGTTGACACATGTACATTCAAATAAATTGCGACTCCAGATGCTCTTATCATTTGCAGATGAAAATAAGGAGATGCTAATCCATTGTGTCCAGCGGTTGTTTTTAATAAAATGCATGATTTATGGAGTGTTTCTGAATTGAGTGGAAACTGAACTGGTTATGTGTTGCTGGGCCTTAACCAGATCTGTGCTTGTGTTTAGCCGGGCCGCAAACAGGCTTGTAGATGGGCTGTCATGCGACCAAAATACAACGGGAGCACGGATGGGAGCAGGCAAGCCGGATCTCTAATGCGTGACTCGCGCATTAAAGCCGTGCGCCAAACCACACACCCTCTGGCTGGACCGATGATGACGCCTTCATTTCTTTTTGAATTTATGATGATGATATAGTACTTCATGTAATTTTGCGCAAAAAGATATGTGTCATCGTTAGTATGGTTTTCATGGATTTTATATTTGGTATGCTGTTAATGTGAGAAAAGAAACACTCGAAAAAAATGAGAGAAGAAAAGAAGGGGTTGGGGTTGGGGAGAAGTATCCCGTGGATCTCGCCAAGTCCCCATTCTCCTCCAGCGAGTCCTCTCTGCTCTCGCCTAGTCGCCTCCCCGTCTCCCTCCCCACCCCTCTCACCCAACCCTAGCGAGCAGATCGCCGATGGATCAGGGCTGGGCGAGCTGGTTCGGCGCCGGCGTCACGTCCGCCTTCTTCGCCTCGCTCGAGCGCTGCTCCTGCATCAACCTCTCCACCGACGACGACGACGACGACGACGAGGAGGCCAACGACCGCCCCCTCATGCTCGCCGCCCCCTCCGACCAGCCCCACCTCGACACCGCCGTCGCCGCCGGCAAGGAGGAGGAGCAGGAGCAGGAGCAGGGGCCTCCCCTCCCGCCCGTGTGACCCGCTCCCTCCCTCCATCCATCGCTTGCGTACGCCTTACTCCTCGTCCTCTGCTCTAGATCTGATGATGAACTGCTGCTCCTCGCTCGTGGCCGACTAATAAATCCTGTCGATTTTGCTGCTGGCCGGCCATGTTTTAATTAATTGAATTACTAGTATGTCTATCTGTGTGTGTGTGTGTGTGTAAGCCATTACCATGCCTGTTGTTTGTGTTCATGTGAATATCATCATGCCGTCGTGTGGTAATTTCTTTCGTAGCAGATGGATGGATGTGTCGGATGGATCATGGATCAATCTCTATATATCTGTTGTTGAATTGCTGCCCTGTGAATGAATGGTTCTACGCTCCGTGATGAACGGATGGACATCATGTTGATAGCTAGCTAGTAACGTGGTGACTGACCGCTTGGGTCTGAATCTGCACGCTCCGTTATCATTCTTTTGTGTGCAGAGTCGACGAAGATGACGGAGAAGCTCTGCAAGCCGGCGTAAACATACTCTACAAAAGCTTTTTTTTTCTTTTCATGTTTCTCTTGCGAAGGTCATCCCTGCGCATGATTTTATTCTGAGCAAAACGCCAAAAAGACATACAAAAATATATGGATCTCGGGAGGGGCCTTAATCTTCCAAACAACAGGTAAATGAACTGGGATGACCCCCTAAAACTGATAGTAATCTTATTTATTTATTTTGAAACGGAGATAATAATCTTATAAGGGCAAGTACTAGAAGAGAAAGCAGCCACTAGCCACATATTGACAAACAATCCGGTCCTCATCACCAGTAAACACAATGATCCGAGCAATACCTTCAAACTCATGCCACCGTTGCATCAACTCATCGTTACGGCTCCTCCTAACAGCGCACATAACCCGTTGGCCATCCCAGATATCAGCCAGTCTTGCCTTGCTCATTAACTATGCAGTACGACTCCCAAGATTCAGCAGCTAAAGGAACAGACCGAAACCATCTTCGGCCATCCCGAAATACCAAGGACAGTTCCTTCTGCCAACAGGCAACAGTAGATCAGTTTCAGTCATGTCACATCTACCTAGAGCTCTACAGCATCAAGTCACGGCGATCATTCATCGGCCTCGCCTGAGGAGGCTCAATATCCGCTCGAAGAACATAGGGAACATGTCCATGCTGAACCGTATGTCCTGCACTTTCATCCACTTCAAAGCCATCTCCTCCAGGGTGCCCAGCGAGGAGTATTTGTAGGCCCATTCACCACCATCCGCTTGCTCCAACCATGTAAGGCTGAAATCATAACCTGCAATAAATGACTTGAACATCTCAGTTAAGATTGCATTACCACCTTTATTATACATGATAATATGCTATTTTTATTTTATGCTCAGAGTTCTATTGGTGGCGCAAAATGAAACATCCACTGATGAAAAATCATCATATGCTAGGTACTTGCTTCCCTGTTGACAAACAAAGGCACATGTTTATCGCCAGAATATAAATGTAAAAACATATTTGCCACATGTTGGTGATAGCAATATAAGAGGTAACATGCCACTTCAACATACGACTATCTATCACTGACAGGAACATAGCCTCAATCAACATCAAAATTTCAGAGCCGTAATTACGACATGTGCTGGTAACAACAACTAAAGGTCAAAATAAACTCTGTTCTGAGTCCATTCTCTAACATCAGGTACTCGCCATTGTCTGTCACTGTGACAATATTGTGCGCATGGCCCTGCATCTAATAAAGTCCACACAAGTATAAACTGTTTAAAATGCAAGGCTGGATCAAAGAGGGACTATGATACAAAAGAGGTACACAATTCTCACTACAAGGCAAGCTGTCACTGAATGTGTATTTAGGTACCACATTTTGCAGTTTAAGCTACAGAGGCAGCTACAGAAGAAGTCCACACTTTTCAAGTTACAGAGGCAGCTACTCTAAACACAACTGCTCTCCAGATATCCAGCCTGCCCAGTTACATATAAAATAACATGCATGAATGTAAGTAAAATATCAAGGCCAAAATGTAAAATGCAAACCATAAATAACCCCCGTGTCACATTCTACTAATGTGCTGTAGCAAATTAAACAATGCGAGCACTGGTGTTTGCAGGTACCAGTAGCCTCATGATGGATTGAAAGTGAGAGTCCTTCTCTTTCATCCTTCAGTGAAAACTTCATGCCAACTAAAGATTCAAGCAGCATATGATACACACAAGAACGAGAATTTTCATCTGTCCCACTCCCTGAAAGCAACAGACTTACAAGTCAAACCAATTTACAGGCATGAGAAGAAACACAAACTGCAATCCACTCGTACATTATCACTAACCTGAGCTGCAAACACCTCTTCTACAGCAGTCCTGCTACAGAACAACACAAGCCATGAAAAAAGGCTTAGCAAACAATATAAAGCTCAAGATAATCATTTATCCTTGCATACTTCTACACTACCAGCAAAGTAGTTTCAACAACTTGCCTCTCTAGCTTCATCCTGAAAGCTACCATGGTGGGCAATGGCTTTCACACTGGACTGTACTGTATTCGTTCTGTTTGACACTGGTGTCCTTGCAGATGAAACAGGAGTTTGCTTCTGTATGACTTCATTTATTGTCTCAGGAGACACTAGAGCTGTATGATCATTTGTGTCACTCTTCTCAGCCAAGAGACGCTTAAGCCTCAAAATTTCAGTTTCAAACTCCTTTGCTGCATAAGAAAAGAAGAACAGAATAAACAAAATTGCAGCTAAATCAACTTGGTTATCACCAAAAAGAATGAAAGATAGAATTTCCCACAACTCGCTGCTGCACC